AAAAAAAAAAATTTTCCACAAAATATTAATTCATCATTTTGCCTTTCTTCTCTTTTTTTTTGCACGCTCATATAGCTGAAGCATTTTTTATTTAAAATGACTGTTCGAAAATTTTTCCAAACAAAAATACTTTCATCATTATTTCCTTCCCATTTTTGAAACATTCATAAACACTTTTCCAATCCAATCATTTCGTTTCGGTAACTCCGAATCCGGTTCATAATTATTTCCCATTCATAAATATTCCTCAATTTTATCATTTCGTTTTAATAATTTCTGAATCAGCTTATGTTTGTTTATGAATGTGCATTTTATATAATGTTTAGATTGCATTGTTCATTTTAATCTTTGCATTGTTCATTTTAATGATTTTCTTCTTTCTATTAATATTTGCAGAAATCAGATAAAATTTTATATGTTTGTTTATTATTATTTCTCATCAAATTTTAACATAAATTTGTAGCAATTGCGGAAAGAAAAGGGAGAGGCTAATTGTGTGTTATAATTGATTTATTGCAAGTTATTATAAGTGTCTGAGTAAGTTTTTATGTAAATTCATGCAAATAAACCACAATTCCATAAATTTTTTTTTTTTTTTTAAATTTAATACGATTTAAACTGATGTAATTTAATAGTATAATGTAAAAATTTTGATTTATTTCGGGATTTTTTATTCAAATAATATTAGTTTATTCCAGTGAATTGGGATTATAACGAAGAAGGTGAATGTGGTGAGTTTTTTTTTCGCGAATTCGTAATAATCTTTTAAGTGATTTTTTTTTTCGTTTACTCTTACAAATCTTTGTTAAAAATGCAACATGACATTTTAAGAAGATTTATCGATATAATATCGAATTTTGAAACAATCATTTAGGATGTTAAATTTTATTTAAAAAAAAAATAATTAATAAATAACCTCAATATGTTAAAAAAAAAGAACAGGTTTGGAAATGAGTTACTTCATTATTAATAAATTTCGAATTTTGCTTTATTTTCTTTCCATACAGTCTGCATTTTTCTTAATTCCAATTAATCATTCTTCCAATTTTGAAAATTCGAAATACATTTCTTTTTATTTATATTTTTAGTCCTTCTTCCGATTATTTCAGGTCCAAAATATTGGCCAAATGCTGATGGTCATAATCAGTCACCAATAAATTTGGATTTATGTTTGATGAAATACAGTACTGCGGATCCATTTAAATTTTTGAATTATAATGTAAAATTAAAAGGTGAAATTATCAATAATGGACATTCCGGTAATTTTTTTTTTTTTTTTTGTTAATAACGAGCATTCCAGTAAATGTAGGAATTTAGGCATGAAATTTTGTTTGATTTACAACCTTTATCGCAGAGAGGATCAATGGAATTGTTTTAGTGACTGAATGCTTCGCTGTTTACTTTGGTTTTCACATTTAATTTTTTTTTCGAGTTTCGTAATTAAATTTTTCTTCGGTTTCATAATTAAATGGATGAAGTAAGCACAGTAGAAGTATCGATGTATTTTTATCGCAAATAATATGAATAATTTTAAAATATCGAAGCAGAAGGTTTTAAATGAAATAATCCTAAGTGCAAATGAAATATTTCTAAAATCGAATCACATAAGGAGATTTCTTCGAAATATTTGATAAATTTCGGAGATCTTTTTTTTACACTGCATATTTTTAATTTTATCAAAAAAAAAAATCTTTTTTTTTCTTTCGAGCAATATTATTTTTAGTACAAGTGAAACCAAATTTTGGAAGTAAAATGCCAGAAATTCGAGGTGGCGGTCTTGATCAAACATATCGTTTGGTACAGTACCATTTCCACTGGGGACTACATGATAATGAAGGTAAACGTTATAGTTTTATCTTGATTGTTTTATCATTCATCAACGAATCAAACATTTATTTGAGATAAGTAAAAAATGTTGTATTAGGCAAAATTCTCATCTAAAGAAATCTAATTAAGTTGTAAATTTTTTTTTTAAAGTAATTTTCAACAGATGTAACTCATAGATACATATGTAATGATCAATGGAATCCGGTTTTTTTTTTTTCATATTAGAAATCTATCTGAATGTTTTCTTTAGGTTCTGAGCATACTTTAGCCAATTTACATTATCCGGCTGAGCTACATCTTGTCCATGAAGGTCTCACAAATCCCAACAAATTAGCCGTTATTGCTGTCTTCTTTGTGCTTGGTTTTGATGATAAGGCGTTGTTTCAAGAATGCACCGTTCTTAATAAAATAATCGATCCAGGTTTTCTATTCAGTTTATTACTGATAATTAAATTCTTTAAATGTATGAATTATTACTCGTCAAAAGAGCGAATATTTTGTTAACTATTTAAAAATAATTCTATAATTTTTATTAAAAGATTAATAATTATGCACATAACTCTAGCGATAAATGATTCTATTGGTAAATTTTTTACAAAATTATGTTTGACTAAAAGTAATTAAAAATTCTAGCCAATTCATTGAAAATTTTTATAATTTTCGTTGAGAAAAATTTAATTCTTGTTTTGTAGCACAAAGTCACCCAATAAAAGAAATTCTTTTGGATGATAAGCTACCAAAAAATAGGAAATCATTTTGGCGATATGCGGGATCTTTGACCACACCACCATGCTCTGAGGTTGTTACATGGACAATTTTCACTGAACCTGTTGCTATCACTAAATTGCAGGTGCTTTTTGTTGTTTATTTCTCCTTCATCATTTATTGATTATAATCATTTCCATCCAAAAAATTCATTAATTCTTAATTATTTAAGTTTGAAAGAATTTAAATTTTTTTAATTTCATTATTTAAAGAAATTACAGACTTTTTCTGTAAATATACTAATTTAAGAATTCGAATTACTTAGAAAGGTCAAAGATTTACTTCCCATTCAAAACATTAGAACATATAGCTGCTTGAGGCAAATTTCTCATAAATTATATTTTAGAATAAGCAGTACTGCATGGAAACTATTACTTTTCCTTATTGATTATGATTGCACTTTAATCTAACTGAAATTCTTTAAACATTTTCCTTGGAAAATTTTATACTTTTGCACTCTGTAATTATTTTCAAGAGATGTTGTAATTGCTTTTAATTTTTTAGCTTGCACTCTTCCGAAATTTGCGTGACAGAACAGGAAACTTAATGAAAAGGAATTTTCGTCCGATACAGAAACTCAATGATCGTGATATACATCTTGTTGTCACTGCTTGATTTTATTTTCTGATTAACTTAACTTCGTACAAATTGATATGTTCAATTATTATTATTGTTTACAAAAAATATGGACCATTAGGTTGTGCTACATACGGTATATACGGTGGAGGTATACTTATATTTAATTAATTATAGATAAACATCAGTTTTACAGATAGTTCCTCGGTGTCTTTTTTTTTTGGCTAATCTACAGATCATTTGCTTTGAAATATAAAATTTACAATGAATTCAGTATAAAACAAATTTGAAATGAAAATTATGAATTTTTGTTGAAGCCATTATTAAGCAATAATTCATTATTGCATTTTCAGCATTACTTTTTTATTCAGATGCACATGACATGACAAATATATGAATGCAAAATTCTCTCGAATTTTAACAATATAAATGCTAGCAGTTAGTTGTCTGCTTATTGCAGAATCGTTGTATAAATCTTTAAAAGATACGAAAAATTTGCATAACATTAAGAGTTAAATATCAAATGTTTGTTTGAAAAAGAAATTCTAAGAAAAATGGATTTTGTGGGATATTCTTTTATTTATTTTTTCTTTTTTTCTTTCTGGGAGTTTCGGTTTATAGTTATGGGAAAAGATTTGAAATTATATCAATTTTATTGAGGGAGAAAGTGAATAATAATTTAAAATGCAATCAAATTAAAAATTCTTTAACATTACTAGGATAAATGCTGTAATTGTTCAATATGAACATTTTTCGAAAAAAAAGCTTTTTAATTTATCATGCTTGAAAATTGTATGCTATTAATATATAAGTGATGGGAAGCAGTACATCGAATTTTCCCAACTTATTTCAAATTTTGTTTTGGAGCTTTATAACATTTTGTCCATTTTTTGTTTCAACTAAAAGTTTTTAAATATTACTAACAATCTAAATTGATAAATTTGGAAATAAAAAGTGAGGAAAGCTGTAAGTTAACATTAAGTCCTTCTCGAAAAAGGAATCAATAGCATTCAGTGGGGTTCCTATGAAGCTGATACAGGAAATGATTTTATTTGAATTTCATTTTATTATAGCTTAGTCTGAATGGATCTTTATTAGTCGAAATACGAACCATAACAATTAACATTTCAAAACGGTGGTTTTTTTGATTATCGGTCACTTCATGAGCTAAAACATTTGTCGAGCTTTTTCACTAAAATGCCAAATGACTGACTGTAAGGGTGAATGATATTGAATTCTATTTCAATTTTATAAAAGAATCAACTTCGATAATTGTTCTTAATTGGTCATTGTCCACCACCAACCAATGACCGTCACTACTTTCTTTATTTTTAAATTCCTGGATTCCTTCACAGGACTTCTTGGAGATCATTGGTATTATGAATTGTCTTAACTTATGAATTAATGATAAAATTCACTCTAATTTTCTTCCCATTAAAAAAAAAAAACATAACGCAAATAAATAAGCATTAAAATAACAGGCATATTTATTTAAGATTGTATTCCAATATCAAACATCAAAATTTAAAATTGCAATTGCTTTTGCTCTAAACTTAAATTTACTAATAAATGAATTTATTAGGTGTATTACTAAAAAACACACTCATAGTCATAAATGTTGTTTAATTACGACAATGACGAATAAAAGTATTTTTTGCTTTAAATTGTCGTGATGAAAAGATCAACAAATACAGAATGTAAAATTAAAACAAAAAAAATGTGAAATCACAGAAACATAACAAGAAAAAAGTCGACTTGAAATTAATGAAATTATAAAATAAGAAATGTTCAACAAGCAATCTGTTACGATAAAAGTTAGCAGAACTGAATATTAGTGATTTTTCATCATTATAGAAATGTATTCCCCAACTTATCCATAAGGTGATGATCTAAAATGTTGGAATGAATATGGCACAGCAAATAACCCCTAACCAACAATAATTTACATTTCTGATAGCATCACGTCACATAAATTTTGGTGACAGAAATTCGAAATAATTTTATTTCTTTTTATGTTGAACAAATTGTTGTTCAAAAATTTTTTGATCAGTTGATAAAATACGCTTTGTTTAAATTTTATTCATAGATGATTCCACGAATATCGTTAATGATTACTGCTAGATGATTTATGATCCTTTGTTTACCATTAATTTCCTCTACCAATTCAATCAGTCAATATTCTTCTGAATCACATACCTCAACGAGTCATCTCAAATTATCTTCCCGAATCAACCAGTAAATGAAGAACAGCCAAGTGATATCGAGTTAGCTTGTTAATATTTACCGATAATATCAAGAAGAATAAATCGCTCATTAATTAATAAAACCTTCATCAAACAATTCGACTCTACCAAATTAAAACTCTTTCTTTTTTTTTCTCTCTCTCTCTCTCGAAAAGAATCTCATAAAAAATAAAAAATAAAAAATAAAAAAACGTTTACAACATTTTGGTACAAAAATTATGAAAGTTAACAATAATATCTATTAATATTTTTATTTATCATTGATTTTTCTTTTATTGTTATTATTTTTATTGTTGTTATTACGTGCATTTAAACATGCATTTATTTATTTTTTGGTTTCTTTTAGCGTTTTTATTAGTGATAAGTTCAGTTCTTGCGGATGCAATCAATAAGTTTTATATTATTTTTTCTACTAATTTAACTTTTGTTGTTAGAAATTAATATTTCTGCTATTTTAATTCATTTATGAAATTTATCGTTATTTACGTGAAGGAATGTTGCATTCACGGATGTGATGAATTATAAGTTTGCAGCTTAAAGTAACTTTAGCATGATTTTGTGCAGAATGTAAACGACTACAATGATATGGATGTGATTTGAATTTCTATAAGTTTAATCTTCGCGGTAGATAATACTGATCAAATGTGAAGGTATTGCTTTCAAAAGAATTTTAAATAGCTATTCCTAATTCCATCAGAAGATTAATTTAATCATCTGGTCGTTTTGACAGATGGATTTTGTAACTTTTAGTTATCTGAATTTTATAATATCACTGAATTCATATATCCAATAGAATTATGATCTTTCGCTTCCATAACTTGTGTTTATATGGAATTCAAAAAAAAAAAGAGTGAAGCTTATTCTGTATCTGTAGAACAAATATTCTGAACGGAAATC